ATATTCTTTTAATAATGGTTTGTTTGGCACTCTCTCTCTCTCCCCCCCTTTTCTCTCCCTTCTCTCTTACTTCTGCTTTCTTCTCCGGCGCAGCGTTTGTTTTGATCGAAAACCTTTGAGCTTCTGAGGTTTTGATGCTTGAGCAGCTGGGTTCCCCAGCCGCTCAAGCATGCTGGAGCCGGCATGTGCTCCCTCCTCCGATGACCCTTCGGGGTTATTCGGTCTCCTCCGATGACCCTTCGGGGTCTGTCGGTTTCGGGGTCCCTTTCCGGTGACCCCTTTTGGTTTTTTTCTGTTTTTCTTGTTGTTTTGGTTTATTTTCTGTTTCTTGTATAGTTTCTTTGTTTCAGATCTGGTGACCCTCGGCTTCCCTGTAGATATTGGGAGGTGCTCGCTGTTTTTCCAGTTCTGGCCACCGTCGGACTGGATCTCTGCCGCGGCGTCCTGGAGATCTTGCGCCATCCTCTCCGGAGTAGTTTGAAGGGTGTCCCATGGCTGGATCGGTCGACCTCAGGTTGCTCGAGTGATTTCACCTCTCTTCCTCCCATGCATCGGGCCTACTCTGCTTTACTTCTCCAGTTTGTTCTTTTCTGTGTTTGTTACCTTTATCCTTTTGGATAAGGACTGATTGTAGATGCCGTATGGCAGTTTCTTAATGCATTGCTAATACCTTTTTCTCAAAAAAAAATAATGGTTTGTTTGGCAATCGTTAGTTTGAGAGAATGTATTTGAATTTGGTGTTACAAATTAAATTTATTGTTTGTTTTTATATAATAAGAGTGTATTTAAATTTTGACCTAAATATATGTATTTTAATTTATGTATTTTAAAGACTAAAAAATATGTATTTTAAATATCCTCTCATACTCATGAATTTAACATTGAATTTCAAATTCTTTATTCATTCTCTACATCTTCCACTACAATGAGATAGCTTCTCTTTGATGACGCCTCAACAATCGCATTCAAAATTGTATATTCAATCTCCAAAATCCTTTTCTCTCCTTGTTTTTGCTGCTCTATTTGTTTGGGCCGATGTCGATTAAGTTGAACTCGCAGAGCAAGTGGTGGTGGTGGACGCCAAGTCACTTATGGAGGGTAGTTTATCAATGGTGATATTGAGACTTTTATAAACTTGTATTTTATCAGAGTTGATGAACTGAGAATGGGCAAAGGAAGCAGTGGCCAAGTTAAGGGAAATGAGGGACTTCTGTTGTACCTATGATTTTGATGATTACAAAACACATTTGAGTGACTAATTGGTTCATTTAAGTGTGTAGTTAAAATGTCAAAAGATTGCAAAGTAAGTGAGCTTGGATTGCACTAAAAATGGACTAAAAGGCTTGAAAATGTGCAGGGAGGCAGCTGTTACAACTTGCAGCCAATTGTGGAAGTGCAGAGAGTCGACTCTGAAAGCTGCAGCTGGCTCTACGGGTAAAGATTTAAAGGTCTGTTGTTTGATGCGCGCAAAGAAAAGATGCAAAGTCGACTCCAACTTTACAGCCGGCTGTAAGGGTGCATTTAATGCACAATAGTCGACTTATTTGAAGATTAATTAATGTTTTAAAGTCGAAACACCAAAGTCGGCTTTATGTTTTTGCATCCGATTGTCCATGAAAACAGAATGTGCAGCAAACCTGCAAAGCTGGCTTTGCGTTTTACAGCCGGCTCCACGGAGAAAACAACATGTGCAAGATCCCACAAAGCCGGCTGCAAAAATGGTAAGTCGGCTGTGCAGAGCCGGCTCTAGAAAGTTAAGTCGGCTGTTCTAACAATCCTACAACTCGAGCTTTGTGTCCTGCAGAGCATTAAATGACTTCCAACAGCTAGTAATGGGTATTTTCGACCATGAGGTTATAAATATAGTTAGTAGAAAATTTGAAGTAAGTTTAGAGAGCATTGCATTGAATATCTTTTCCTACCTACATGAGCTTTAACTTGAGTTTTTTATTTTTAAGAGATCTTTACTTGTAATCCTTTTCTTGTTCTATTTGTGAGTGATTTTGGGGGTGTGATTAATCCTTCAAGAGTGATCTATAGAGAGGATTCTTGATGTTTATCTTGTAAAGGGGTGAGATTTGAGAGAAACACCCTTCTTCTTGTAAAAGGATTGAGTGACTCCTTTAAATCACCTTTGATTTTATACTGAAGAGTGTGGAGGAAATTCTTGATGAGTGAAGCCAAGGTAGAAGATTAGGTTCCAAGTGATTGACCGAACCTTTATATAATCATTGAGCAAACTCTTTTTCTCTACTCTTTTTAATTTTGGTGTTGTGATTGTAAAAGGGGAGAGTTTTTGGAACTCCAATTCACCTCATTTCTTGGAGTACATTGAGTCAACAACTTCTTGCTATTGTTAGCATCCATGATGACCACAAGCTTGTCTTTCTAGTATTGGGCAATGGTGATGGGGCAATAGAGTTCATACGAGGCCATTGTGGGTGATGGCAGTTGCAACGATGGAGGCGAAATAATGAGGAATGGAGGTGGGTGAAAGAGTATTGAAATAATGGGTGGGTGATTTTCACATGAAGATGCGGAAAGTAGTGTTTTGAAAATTGGACCAGATCAATTGGTTGAATCGTTCAAACCATCACCCAATTGCTGAAACGGACTGGGTGGTTGTCCAGGCCTGTTTGGATGATCAAACCGTCCAAAACCAGAAAAACCACTTGATCCGTCCCGCTCAGCAGGCCGGTAAACCCGCTGGGCAGGTTGCTCCATGCTACAACTTCCATTTTTCTTTTTCTTCCACGGTAGATTCAAACTTCAAACTTCAAAGCTTAAATTTGTCACCTCCAATGTTCGAACACATCACTTCAAATGGCTTTTCAACAACTTTTGCCACTAGAGCTTTACCGTTTGTTTTGATATCCTTCACTTAAATTTTTATTTCTTTTAGTTTAAGAAGAAAATAATTATAATAGTCATTTAAGAGTCGGACTACCTTTAATTTTATTGAGTTATTATGTAAAGAGAAATATTGTCTACTTTTGTATTGAAATTAATATAAAATTTATATTTTAAAAATATAAATTAAATTGTAATGAATGTAATTTTTATAATAATTTATATAAAAAATTATAAAAATTAACATTTTATATAGATGATTTTAATTAGTTAATTATTTAATTTAAAATCAATTTTTATAATTTTTTATATAAATTAATTATAAAAAATTACGTTTATTATATTTTTAATCTATATAATAAAAATCTATTAATAGATTATGGATTATAGGTTAAAGACATATTAATTAAATTTTAACATCAACTGGGTTCAGACTTTCATCCTCATTATGAGAGACAAGATAACAAACCAATGGAACTGGTAAATGCTGCACAACATTATATTTATTAATATTTTATTGAATCGATAGTTTTTATGGTTTAATTGATTAAATCAATCAAACCGAGACCTGGAGGTCAAAATGAGTTAACCACCAAGCCAGTTTTGAGAACACTGGCAGAAAGGATAGAGTAGTGGTAGTTTTTGCTGAGTTAATGCTTAAATATATACAAAATATGAGATATTAATTATCGTTTTATTTTGTTACGTGTGATAACTGAAGCAACAATCTTATTTTGAATTTTGACAGGGTACTTCACAATAGAGTAAAAGAAATAGGGGTAATGACATGGCAACTAAAATTGCCTATTAAGTATTTATAAAACTGTCTTAATGGAAGTGATTAATATCAAAT